TCCATTTTTTTTGTTTGTTTGTTTTTTGTTTTTTTGTTTTTTTGTTTTTTTTTTTTTTTGAGCGTTAGGGTGTTAGTGGCACTGTCTCTCAGCACATAGGGTAAGGGTGACTCTGCTGCTGAGAAGACAGCCTGGGTGACATCCCAAAAGACAGTTGCTTCCTGGAGGGCACAGAGACATGAGTGCCATTGTTCCTTACAGCATTGCCCAGATCAGCACCCTAAGGAGAAGAGCTGCCACCCTGGGAAGTGCAGAGTGCAGATTCATCACTAAGGATAGATGAGGGAAGGCAGGAGGAAGAGGCTGTGATCTAGGCAGGACAGCACAAGTCCCTTAGCTCACCTCTGCCTTCAAGGGAGGAGTCTGACTCTTGGCCAAACTGACCAGAGCCCTTGGGGAGCCACCACCACCACCACCACCACCACCACCAGAGCTCAGAATATTCTGTCCATATCAACAGAGTTCACCAGCTTTGCTCTGTTGATGGGGGAAAGGCACTGGGAAGTTCTGGCCTTTGGAGTCCTTTGGGTCCTCCCTCAGCTTTCTGTGTGGCCTCCTTTCCCACCTATGTGAACAACTGTTCTGGAACTTTTGTTGGGCATTAGAATTCTCTAAGGTTACTTTTGGATGAAGAGGGGTTTGGTCCTTCCCCTGGGGTAACCCCATCTTTGGCAAATCATGTGTATGCTTAGTGATTGTTCCAACCCCAGTCTCTCTCATTGAGACTGATACTAAACTGACATTCTGAGAATGAGACATGTTTGCAAATATAGGCAGCTTTGTCGAAGCAACACAAAGCTTTCCACTGAGATGAAAACAGCATCTTTCACTCTGATGGGGAAAAATCTGTTGCCATGAGAACACTGGCACCCCAGTGAGGGCTGTGAGGGGTGTGCTGACTGCTCTCAAGGACACTCTATATGGAGCTTCACACCATGCGGCACGCATCACCCGGGTAGCATGTTGTCAGATCTATAGCTTTCCAGAAAGTTCTGTTCCTTCCCTCATGACTGCCTCAGCAATGAGAAGTGGCTGGCTTCAAACTGTTGGACCCAAAAGTGAAGTCCAACTCCAGGAGACGCACCCCACAGAGTCACTCACAGGACACAAGTTCAATGCAAAAGCAAAAGGATTCTATTCCAACGCATTGGGGTTATTCCCTGGGAAGAGAAAGGCCCCGAGTTTCCAAAGCAGGCAGTTTTTATGTCTTTTTGGTCACTAGGCAGGAGTGTGACAACATATTGATTGGCTGTAACATACATGAGTCATTTACTGATTGGGTGGGAACTGAACTTACAATTTTGCCCACAAGGGGTTTGGAATGTTATTTTGGTTTTTACACCTGCAAGGCCATGGGACAGCTAGTGGTTTTTCTGGGAACAGAGTGACTTATACTTATTTTCAAAACTTGGGTGCTCTGGAGCAGGGTAATCCATGACAATTTTTAGAAACCAGACAGTTGTTGAAGATAATAGAAACTAGTAATAATAACAATTTCCAGAGACTGGTCATCATGACTGACCATTTCATGTGTTCTTTGTCCCAGAGCTGTGTGTGACCAGAGTGATTTTCAAATACATGCTGGTGGGTATCAGGCTAGGCTTGAATTAGGGTCTTTCAAAACCAGCTTGGCTCACCACTGCTCTGGAGTCTTCTCCTCCCCACAGATGTTCAGTCCAGGCAGAGCAGCCATGATTGCCAGTCTCTGCTGGTGTCCAGGCACGGCTTGCTGAATGAACTGTTCAAACGCTAACTCACCAAGCTGTCTGGAGTGTTCCAGGAGATGCTGTGCCATCACACACAGGCAGGTGGCAACAAGTGATGTCTGAAGACAGTGTGACAAGGGCAAGGACTCTCCATCCTCAGTGCCCAGAGGATACTGGGATAGGAGACAGAAGCCTGACATTCCTGAACTGCCTGGCAATGCTATTTTTTTTCCTTTTTTCTTTTTTGTTTCTGCTCAGCTTTCAGTCTTCCATACCCTATCACAGAATAGGAGCAGGAAGTGCCAAGCCCCATCCCTTCCAAACTGACCCACAGTGTGGTGAGAAGGCCACACTTGGTGGACACCAAATCTGCTGGTGAATTTTACCTTTCTGATTTGAGTGCAGTGCAGGGTGTGGGCAGGATGGATCCATCCATGTGTAATTTCCATCTTTTGGATAAGCCACATAAACAGGTAGAATGTTGGATTGAGATCTTCGGGCACTGGAAAACATGGACTAGGAAGACACACATACAGAAGAACCAGGCAGTGCCCAGAAGATTCTCAGTGGAAAGGTTCCTGGGTGTGTGGAGTCACAAGTGCTTTTCCTCCACGAAGAATTCAGAGCAGAAGTCTTTTCTCACAGCTTCTTGTTCAAAGTATGACCACGGGGTTGGCTCTGACATGTGCCAGGTGTTCCGCTTCTCTGAGAATTGGGGAGCACAGACAGCTTTGTAAACCAAGGTTGGTCACAGGTCTCACCAAAGGGAATGTAATTATTAACAACCTGCTGTGTAATTAGCAAGCATATCCAAGGCCTCCACACCCCTAGTGAGAATGATGCCGGCCGCTGGTTATGAATTGGTCTCCAGCCCAGTGGAACTGAAGCTGCAACCCGATCACATGGTCTGTAATCAGTTCCAACTGGCCATTAGGGAGCTCCAGCTGGCCATTAGGGAGCTCCGAGCCTCTTCACACTTTCTCTCTGACTTCACCCTGTGCACTCAATGCTCAGCAGAGCCAGGTCTGTGAATCTTGGTATGACATCAACATGCAGAAAAGCTCTCAGCTCCACCGTAGGCCAGGAACATTAGAGGGCTGAAGGCTGAGAGAGCCCTAGGCCACTCAGAGCCCAGGGGAGATAACATCTGTTCTTTCACCCACATTGTAGGAATTTGGCTGGCTGGCTATTTTGTTTAGTTGATAAGTTGGTTGGTTTTGTTTGATTGGTTGCTTAGTTAGTTGGTTGGTCGGCTGACTGCTTGGTTGGTTGGTTGCATGGTTGATAACTGGCTGGTTTTGGTTAGTTAGTTGATTGGTTTTGATTGTTCGTTGGTTACCTGGTTAATTAACTGACTGATTTTGGTTGGTTGACTTATTAGTCAATTGGTTGGTTTTTGGTTGGTTTGTGTCAGTTGATTGGCTATTTGACTTCATAGTTTGTTTTTATTAGAAACTGTGTCACTGTACATATCTGTCACAGAACTTCTACGACACAACAGTTGTTAAATATAAATGGTCTGCTTCACACTGGCTGTTAAATGTGAAAGCAGCATAGAGCACAAACAGATTTGAACCCTGGGGGGGGGGCTTGGGATACAAATGAAAGAGGGTTGTAGCCAAGAATCCAGAGCCCAAAGGTCTGAGGGTCCCCCATGCTCACCTGCAGGAGCCCTGATAAAAGGCAGGAACAGATGTCAAAGACAAAACTGTCATCAGAGATAGGATGCCCCACCCAGAGCAGGATGTCTGGTGCCTTCTGAACCAGAGTAATTGCGTTTGTGAGGGACTTATTTAACATCGTTTCCCATTCAAACTTGGGTTCACACTTGACTGACAGCAGGAAGGCAACAAGGTAGAGCAGATGATCATCCAGAGTCCTTAGTGACTTCCCCAAAAGTGCCACCATGCCAGTTCAGGAGGGTAGGGCTTGTCCTGCTGACAATGGGAGCATATTCATCGTCCCCTTAAGATGTCACAGGATGAGAGGGGTGTGGTTGAATGCAAGCTGCTTCCATGCCACTTGTCCTGCTCACCCATCCCCGTGCTTGTGAACCTCACTGGGCCACCACTTATTTTCCCATGCCAGGACAGTCCAGAAGTGCCACTGGTAACTATACCTTTGAGGACATGTTTGCTTCAGACTCTGAACATGCAGAACATGTCCTTCAGAAGCCCCTTTCTCTCTCACAGCCTTGTTGGTAAAGCTTTACATTTGGAAACAAGAGAGACGTCTACAGATGATTTTTAAGAGTGTGTCTGCATGTGTGCGCATGAGGACAGGTGCCACAGAGGGCCTAGGTCTTCGATCCCCTGGAGCTGGAATTACAGGCAGTTATGAGCCACCTGATGTGGGTGCTGGGAACTGGACTTTGGTCTTCTACAAGGTCAGAGTGCTATCTCAACCCCTGAGCCATTATCTCACCAGTCTCAGGAGCAAGAGAATTAATATGACAGAGGACACTTGTGAAAAAGTGTCTCTTGTTTGTGACTCTGCATATGTGATGGAGGGGGTGAGTGAGAGGTGGCCTGCATTGTGTACATATGTGATGGTGTATGTCTGTGTGTGCGTGTAGAACATGTCTGCCTGAGTATGTATGCTCTGTACTGTATGTATATGTGTATATCTGTGATGTGATATTTATACATATATATATGCCGTATGTATATGCGTGTGCATGTGTATAGCAAGAAAAAGACCTGCAAGCTGAAGATCAGAAAAGAAAAGCAGCCAGGCACTAGCTCTCACTCTACTTTAAGACTGAAAGATGATCCTGGCTCCACCAAACCTCAAACTTCTGCCTCTCCTCAGTGTGCCTGGTGAATCCTGAGACTTCAATGTCTTTCTATCCTCAGTGTGGCTGGAGGATGAATGCCAGCTCTGAGACCCTGCTCCTGTCTTAAATACCTCTCATGAGTCCTGTGTGACCCCAAGTGCTGAGATCAAAGGCATGAGCTCTGTTACTCTTCACTCCTGTGTAGGCCAGGGTGGCCTTGAACTCAAAGAGATCTGTCTACCTCCACCTCCCAAGTGGTAAGAGTAAAGGTGTGGGCCACCACTCTCTGGCTTCTATAGCTTCAGGCTGACTTTGCATTCTGAATCCTCAGGCAAGCTTTAATAAGTCATAAAAATATATTACCATACATGTGTGTGCTGTAGGTGCACGTGTGTGCAAGTATGAGTGCTGTGTCCATGGTATGCTATGTGTATATATGAATGCTGTGTAGTTGTGTGTAAGTGTGCTATGTGTGCATGTGTGTGCTGTGTGTGTGTTTGTGTGTGTGTGTGTGTGTAGTGTGTGTGTGTGTGTGTGTGTGTGTGTGTGTGTGTGTGTGTGTGTGTACACATTGAGGGTATGATTGCATAGATGTGGACTGGCAGGACTCCCTCACAGACACCAGCCCTGAACCTCTAGCCACCACTGCAGGAATGGCTTCTTAGTCTCGCTTCTCAGTTCTGCATCTGGATGGTTCAAACACACTTCCCTGTTGCCATTTGATGCCTGCATTAATCTAAGAATCATACTTTCAAAATGTAATCACCAGGTAGTTACAGAGAAAGTTCAACTTTATGCATCTGCCTCTGACACTTGGAACAGAGGAGTCCTCTTTTTTAATGCCTCCTGATTATACTTCATAAGTCCTAAGCAGCCAAACAAGCCTTAGTCAATAAACAAGGCGGGCTCAACCATGCAAACCGCCCATGGTGATTTAGGATCCTTGCCACACAGATTATTCACCTTGTACCAGTTCATAGCTGTACTGAGGCAAGTGACAAGAAAAGCATACAGGTGAGTGGGGGTGGGAGGCTGGGCAAGGTTAGGAAGTGTTGAGAGGACTCTCCTCTGGCAATCCCCGTAAGGAGGGAAGAACAGTGTCATCCCAACTCTGAGCTCCCTCTCTCTCATCCTCTGGAGTTGGGCTCTGGTCCCAAAAGCTTATTGCTGCTGCTTGGGCTTTTGGCCTGTGCTGTAATGAGTAATGGCATTCCAGCATTTGGAATTCATCAGCTTCACTCTGGTTTGATCCCAGGATAGAGGAACCCCTTCCACACATTCAGTGGTACAGAAAGGTGTGGAGTTCTTCAGCCCTTCCTCCAGTGTCATGGTTTTACATTGCACTTTTAGCCCTGAGTATTATATGCCTTTCCAACTTACCTGCAGCAGTCATGATTCCATTCTTTTTTTAACAAAAGACCATGCTGGTTGAGGTAGCATTTATATTTAATCTTTCAAATAACACAAATTAAAACAATTGGAGGTCGATTTTGTTTAAAGTAGAATATTTGGAATATTTCAAAAGGAAATATGACATAGAGTTTAGAGATGCTTTTGACAAGGCCTTCTACAAGTGGGCTCTTTCTGATTCACTGCTGGAATCTACCATACCTCACCACCCTGAACAGGGACAGCCCAGCCCAAGCCTTACTAGACACTTCAATGTTCACAAAATAGCCAGCCTTCTGTGTTTCACTCCTGAGCACAAAGGACCTAGGGTTAAACCAAATGGTGGAGACTGGCTGCTGTTTTTAAAATCACGATTCTCTTGGTGCTTAAAAGTCTTACTTCAGGGCTAGCTCAGGAAACCCCATGCGCATGCTTCCTGGGTCTCCATGTGACCTGTGTGGACAAGTAGAAAGCTCTAGAAGATTTTTCATAAGCTTTTTACAACTAGGATCATCTGTTAACCACTTTGCGGCTTGATTTCTTATCAGCACCTGTGAGCCAAGAGACATCTGGGCTTCCTCTGAGTGCATTTTTGCAAAGAACACCATGCTCAGATGGCTGGTGAGTGAAGAGCTGGCCTCAGTTGATCTTGGTGATCAGCAGCTTTTTGCTGTGTGCAGAAAATTCCCCACCCATAGTCCATTCCTTTCCAAAGCTCAAGTGATTTGCTCTGCCATGGATTGTATGGACATGGCGCCAGCCTGGTGTGTTTCCCCAGCCCTCTCAGCAAACTAAACTTGGCTTGCTATTCCCACAATTCACCCTGAGGCTGCAGTACCACAGAGATGGCTTTGAAGGATGCCCTGCTGCTGAGATAAAATGGAAAGTCCATTTCACAACCTGGGTGTGGCTCTTTGAGGCAAATTGTAGCTGCAATGACAAAGTCCGAGGAGTTTGTCTCTCCAGGTCTCTGTGTCTCTCTGTCCTTAATCTTGCTGCATAGATGCATTCAAACTCGTTTTTTTTTTTTTTCCTAAGCAGCTTGTATTTTCACCTTTCCAAAGACATAGTAGTTCAAAATCAGTGAGGAGGCAATAACCATGGATACCTAGCAATGATGCCCACGTTGACTGTTCTGGGTTTGCCCACGTTGACTTGCAAGTGGGAAGGCACACTGGGAGGTCCCATGTATTGGAGATCAATGTATATTCAGAAGACATCTGCACTCTTGATATATTGGTGTTATTATTTAATCAGAGTGGGTCTTACCTCCAAGACAGGCCTTGACTTAAAGCCATTAAATAAGGGACCACTCAGAAGCATAGAGAGCTGTTGTAAAGGAGGTAAGCCAAGACAGTTTTCTATTTTCATATTGCACAAAACTAAAGCATTTGCCTTCAGAAAGAGATAGGAGGTTTTGATCACTTTATTCTATTAAAAAAATGTGGGTCACTTTTAACTGAATAAATGTCCTTGCATGAGTTATTTTTTTTAATTATCATTCTGGCTTATACAAGCATCTTCCTGCAAGTCCTTGCCATGCCCCTCTGTCCTCTGGTATCTCACCCCCATTTCCTTCCATCCCCTTAACGCCCTAGACAGTCTTGCTTCTGTTTCATGTCATCTGTATAATTCTGTGTATTTGCATAAAACCTAGGACCCACAAAAGGGAGAAAGTGTATGGTATTTGTCTTTCTGACTTAAATCGCTTAGTGATGAGTTCCTTCTAACGCTCACGTCAGTCGTGAAATTCACTGAGCATCAGACTGCAGTTGACAGCACAAGGATGAACCAGTATACATCCCTTTCTCTCCTGCCCTCCTCATGGGAACAACCTTCCCATGCCCTTAACCAGCTGAGGCAGCAGTAGCATCCAGGGATAAACAGCCAGGTAGCTGTGCTCCTAAAATAGAAGCCTGATTGTCCGGTTGCGTAACAGACCTCAATAAGCAGTTTCAGTGCCACACTGAGTAATGTTTATCCTGCTGTGACTTCTCAAAGCCAGCGCTTAAACAAAATCCCCAGCACATTTCTTCGCATTCATTAGTTAAAGATCTGTACACTCTTAACCGAGCCCCAATTGATCTCCTGAGCCTTGTGCTTTAAGCTGAGGTGTCACAGGTCTCAGCTACAGTGTTTCTACATGACAGTGGCTTCAGAGCCGCACAAAGCCAGACTGTTTTGCATGGTGCATGGTACATTAAAGCTTTCACTGCACACAGACCTGCAAACAGACCCTTTACAAGTGTGGGCCGTTTTTCCTCTATTCTTTTCCTTTTCCTTTTTCAGCGCTGGAGGTGAAATCTGGGTCCTCTTATTCTAGACAAATGCTCACTACTGAGTAGCCCAGTCCTTTAGGGGTATGTTGTGGGGGTGCATGTAGGGGGGGCAGGGGCTGTGCATGGGTGTTTAACACCTTTGCTAAGATGTAGTTCATACGCGTACAGACTGAAAATGTTCAGTGCCATTTAACGTATTCACGGCTCTGCGTGATGCGTCACAGCGTCCCATTTTAGAACACTGACTCACACAAATCACATTTGCCCCTCAACTGTAACCCCACTCCTTCCCTCAGAGGCTGCTGGTCCTCTGTCCCTATGCTTCCCTAGTACAGTAAATCACATGGATGGAATTATATTGGTGGCCTTTTGTGTGTGGCTTCTAACCCAAAGCATTATATTTTGAAGGTTCGTCTATGCTATCCCCCCCATCTCCTGTCTACAGTTTCGTTGTTGAGAAATCTTATTCTTATGTTTTAATTACCTGCTCATGGGTTTCTGGGTATGTGGAATCTTCCTCCTTCAAGTTATTGCAGATAATGCTTCTGTAGATATTTACACTTGTTTCATTTCTGTCAAGAATACACCTAGGAATACATTGTTCATCTGTGTTTAACTTTTTGAGAAACTGTAAAAATCTTTCCACAGCATCTGCACCATCTGATGTTCACACCAGATGGGGCTGAGGTCCCATGTGATATGTCTACCAGCTAGGTCTGGGGGTGCAGTTTCACCACACAACCACAGCCATCTCACTGTGTGAGACAGAGTCTCACTGTGGCTTTGATATTAATCCGACAGGGATAACAGTATTGAGTATCTTTTCATAGTCTACTGGCCAGATACGTTATCTGCTTTGAGAAAACAGCCCCTACCATCATTTTAAATCAGACATCTTTATGTTGTTGACTTGTGGGAGTTTTGTACAATCTAGATGCTTGATCCGTATTAGATAAAAGATTTCCAATATTCTCTCCCATTATATACATTGTCTTTCCGTTGTTTTTTGTGTGTGTGTGTGTGTGTGTGTGTGTGTGTGTATGTGTTTATATAAGTGGTTGCATGTGCACTTGTGTGTGTGAGTGTGTGTGTGTATGTGTTCATATGAGTGGTTGCATGTCACTTGTATGTGTGTGTGTGCATGAGTGTGTGCATGTGTGTACGTGTGTGTGTGTGTGTGTGTGTGTGTGTGTGTGTGTGTGTGTGAATGTGAAGGTGAGGGGACAGCCTCAAGTGTACTTGTTTTTGAGACAGGGTCTTAACTCACCTGGAACTCACCAGGGAGGCCGGACTGGGGGCCAGCAAGCCCCAGGTATCTTCTTGTCTCCACTCCCCAGCACTAGGGCTACAGCACCCTGCTTGTTATCCTTTCTGTCTTTCATCTTTCACAGTATTTATTTTATTTTTAGTTTCAATGGAGTCCTACTTATCCAAAATTTCTAACTCTGCCCTTGTTTTGCAGATTAAGAATCTCACCCAAGTGGCCTTTGTTTTAGTCTCTGATGTTGTCACTTCAGGAACACTAACTACTACCAGTATGTTAGAAAATGAACACAGTCTCACTGTCTATTCTTCTTTTTCTAGACTGAGCTCCTTGAAGGAGGTTGGCTCATCTCTGAGGAATATTTGCCCCTAATTGTGACAGTTGGAGGTGACACAGACAGGTGAAGGGCAGAGGACAGAGCAGCTGCTGAGCCTATACATCCCCATGGCAGAGCTGTTCCACCCAAAAATGTCACCTGTGCCTGATGTGGGCACCCTGGCCCGGGGAGGATCATGTGGCCTTCTCTGTCCTCAGTGTCTGCCTGACGGGGGTGGGGCCTAACTAACCCTGTTGATGTAGACCCAAGTCTTTTTAAAATATTAATTATTTATCTTTATTATTGGTGTGTGCATGTGTGTGCACATTTGTGATGTGTGTGTGTGTGTGTGTGTGTGCGCGCGCGCACGCTCACACCTGTGTATGCTTTTGCATGTGTGCACAAGCACATATGCGTTTCTGTGTGTGCCATGGCACAGAAGTAGAAGTCAGAGGTTAATTTTCAAGATATTGGTCTCTCCCTTGATCTCAGGACCCAGGATTCAAACTCCTATCATCTGAGCCAACTTGCTAGCCCTTAGCTAGTACCTTTGTAATTTATCATAACTCATTGTAGAGCCAGAGTGAGAACAGAATCTGCTTTAGAGGAAGTAAAGTCTGCTGTGGTGGCAGAAGCTTGTAATCTTGGCATTTTGTGGAGGTAGGAGCAGCAAGCATTCAAGGTCACCCTCAGCTATATACAGCATTTGAGGCCAGCCTGGAATACATGGGACCTTCTATTTGAGAAAGAAAGAAGGGGAGAGGCTGAACAATAAATTCAACCCTTTTCTTTCCTTTTTTCTTTTCTTTTTTTTTTTTTAAGCTTTTGACTAGCATGCACAGGATTTTTCCTTGTTCTGATATTTCAGTACTTTAATGACTTCTGCCAGTTTGTCACCAGATTAAAATTTTCAAGTCTTTCCATCACACAATACCCCAGCAGGCATACATTTGCTGCACACGTGGGCTGTGGGAGGTGCTGCACCCTGTCTGGGTCATATGAGACTCAAGGAGCTACTTCCTCATGGAATCTAGAGCAGCCGAGACCCATAGGTGTCCCCAGGGAGGCTGGAGTGTGAATTTAGACTATGCCATGTGAAGGAGGAAGGCAGAGGCAAGAAAGAGACACACTCCCCTGGACTTCAGTGTGTCCTAGAAGGGAGAAACGGCTCTGCTTCCTGGTGTCTGATACCCACAGCTCACCATAGTGGACACTAAATTCTGTCTACCACAGTGGGTATGAATGTGGCCTTAGGCCACCTGGTCCCCACTGTGCCATGATGACTGACACCTCACTTCCCAGCATTGTCATAGGATTACCCGCAGCAGCTCAGCAGCCCTTCAGCCTCAGGGCCCCAGGGTGGCAACCCTTTAGTGACATCTGTTCTCACCTAAACAGCCCTAGGCCTTAGCCATTTGTCTGTGAGACCCTGTGTTGGCTTACCTGGACACATTGGAACCTCTCTTCTTCTCCCTCCACTCAAGCTGGGCTTGGAAGTCAGGAGTGGCAGGTTTCCTCCAGGGCTGCAGAGTGTACACCCTCTGCAGGCATTGGGTTCCAAATCTGTAGCTCTGCAGGTTTCAGCAATGGCTCTGGGCCTCTGACTCACCTGTTGACTCACCCCGGAAAGCAATGGCAGGGTGCCCTGGCACAGTCCAGGTCCCACAGCCCTATGGCTGAGCACATGTCAGAGTCCCCAGCTCTCAGTCTTGGCAAGACTAGGAGCCAAGAGGACCGAGATGAGTGCATGCTTGAGGGCTATGGCCCACCCAGAGTTCCAGACAAGGTACCAAGTGACCACTGGAGAGGGGATAACAACACCTGCCAGCCAGAACCTCCTGAACAGAAAAAGCAAGAGTGGGAAGTTTTACTACTGTTCTGCAAAGAACACCACACCCTCCTTACCCCAGGGCCAGTAGATGGGTCCCTGCTTACAGATACTTGTGAGAGGACCCTCCCGTATCCTCCTTATCCCAGACATAGACAGGAAGGGTACAAATCTTACAAGCTCTGATGAATAGTCTTCATATATTTTAATGCTTATTCCCCCCAACCCCTGAAAAAAAATCTTAGACACTCATGTCTGTTTAGGCATTATTTGTTTACAGACAGGATCTCATGTGGCCCGGAACTCACTGTGTGTGTAGCCAAAGACAGTCTTGAATCTTTGACCCTCCTGCCTGTACCTCCTCAGTCTCAGAGTACACGTGTGCACTACCACACCCTGTTTGTGTGGTACTAGGGATCAAACTCAGGGTTTCATGCAAACACTTGGCCACACTCCAGCTTCCTAACATTTGTTTCTACGTGAAGTGGCATTGTCAGGACACATACACAAGCTATGCTTGTCTGCCCTATGGGATGAAAGTGTGTGGCTGTCTGTCCAGCCTCTGAGGCCTCTAAGTGAATGCCCCCACTTCGAATGCTAGCTGCTGCTTTGGAGCTTAGGTGTTAGACATAGATGCCTCAGGGTAGCCAAAGTCTTGGGCATCCTAGACTTCACTTCTGTCCAGAACCTGCTCCTTATTGACCCATAGGGTTTGCAGGATTTAAAACTCTCAAAAATTCATTCTTACATGTGCTTTCTAAGTTAGGGAGTCTGTAATGGCCGTGGCTCAGAGTTCAGCACACACTGGTTCTTCAGTCCACCACTCTGTGACATAGCTTGACATCATCACTCTCCTGAGTCAGAATGTTGTATCATCCTCTCCTCCCAGAACTTTATACAGTATGTAGAATCATGTCTTCTGACCAGTCCCCAAAAACTTGTCACCACCAGGCCATTAATCCTCCAAAAATTCGAGGAAAACAACCTGCTGCTGGTGAGTGTCCATAGTGTGTGAGTGTATGCATGAATTTACGTGCACAGGTATGTGTGCACCTCCATGGTATGCTAGCCGCTATGCCAACTAGATATCTTTGAATGGCAGGTGACATTCCTCTGTGGTGGGTGTGTCACCTGGATGTCTGGACACTGATTACTGAGGAGCATGTCACCAGGTGACCGGTCTGGAGTCACACCAGGATTACTCCACTGTGCTTGGCAGCTCTAGGTCCTTCTCCTTTATTCCTTGCCTGGGGTCTCATGAAGACCCATAGTGTACAGCAGGTCTGGGGAGAACAAAGTAGAGGGTGGGGATGAGGCTTCAAGCCCTGGTCCCACCTGCTAGGCCTCCTTCCAGGCGCCCTCAGAGCCCCATGGGAAGCTGCTGCCTAACATTTGAAGGTCAAAGTTCATCGAAGTTCCTTTTTTCCGTGCTTTCCTCACAGAGAAAATGAGACTGTTCACTGACTCATGATATGTTAGAAGTGTAGAAATTCCTTAGTACCCAAGCTTGTTTCTCCTATCTCACCGCCTTTGGTTGTGTGCCAGCATTTGCCTGAGGCTGGCTGTAAGGATGAGTTAGCTTCCTGTGGCTTCAACAACAGTTACAGAAGTCAGATACTTCCACACCAGACTTTGATCTTACCAAAGGGTTAAGGCACTTGCTGCTGTTCTGAAAGGCAAGAAGGAATGTCTCTCTGCCTCCGCTGGCTCCGGGTGGCCCCATTGTCTTTCAAGTGTCCTGGCTTGTGTCTGTATCACCACCATTTCTCCTGCATGGTCCAATGTGCTTTCCCTATGACAAGGATGGCCAGCTACCAGACGAGGCCCACACTGGTTCATTGTGATCCCCCTTAACTTTCTCATCTCCTCGAAAGGCCCAATTTCCATGCAACATCAGAGTCCCAGACCTCAGAGGTTAGAACACAGACATATAATTTAAGGGACATAAAACTCACAGAAGGGAGTGAAATTTAGCAGTTAACAGAGTTGGAGAGAATTTGGGGAAGGTAACAGATGCCATAGACCCTAAGAATAAAGTTTGTCGAAAACCAAAAGAGAGGTAAGACTTGTTACCAAGGGAGGCAGGAAGTATAATGGATGTGACTATAGGCAGATAACTTCAGCAGTCACATGGGAACGCTGGCGTCTAGAATGTAGGTTAACCACTTAGACAACGTCAGCTTGTGGGATGGTTGCTGTGAGCAGGCTTGCAGGTGTGCTTTACCTGCTATGTAATTCCTACTGTGAGCACTCAGAGCCTTGGCCATGACTGTCAGTCATCTCATCCATGACCAGTCAGATGCTACAACTGAACCATAAATGAACCACCTGGCTGCTGTGGGATGTTAGCATCCTGCCACCCTGACCTGTATCACCACCCACCCAGAACACATTCCTACCACAACCAACGGAGCCCTGTGGGTCTGAATCTGACTTTAGGTTCACACTTTGTCAAGCCCATCTTCATTGCATGCATCAAATGCAGTTCCCACTACCAAGAGGTCTTGTGTGGGTGGGGTGGGGGAGTCCCAGGGACAGGAAATAGCAGGTGATTTGCCGGCAGTCACTCATACACAGCCAAGGACGCTAGAACCCCGCCTCTGCTTCTGCAGTCTAGTTTGCTCCTCTAGATAGTAGCCCAATGTGTTCTGAAACTGGGGTGTGTTCACGACTGGTACTCATACACAGCCAAGGACGCTAGAACCCCGCCTCTGCTTCTGCAGTCTCGTTTGCTCCTCTAGACAGTAGCCCATGCGTTCTGAAGCTGGGGTGTGTTCATGACTGGCTGTGTAGCCTTTGGAGGTGGGAGCAGTTCTTGGACATGCTCTCTGGTCTCACGGAATCAGTTCACCCTCACTGGACACCTGCCAGAGCAAAGGGAGAGAAGACCAAGAAAGGGGAGCCAGGCAACAGCATCCCCACTCCACCCCCAACCCACACTCAAAGGAAAAAACATGGAGCCAAGCTGACAGGAGCAACAGGCACCCAGGGCAGGGTGCTAGGGAGATGCCCACCTCTAGTCCATCTCATTGAAGAGAGCAACAGTTTCTAAGCACTTTTGTGTAGAATTCTGCTAATTCTCATGTATAAATACCATGCTCAGCAACATTAGCATTTTCTTTCTTTTACAGCAAAGGCCCCTGAGGCACAGAGAGGTTAAGTATATGCTCAAGGTAGCGTGGTTAATACACAAGTCAGCATATACCTAGCATCTGACCATAGGGCCTGTTATCATAATAATAGTGAGACTATGTAGCTAACATGACAGCAAAGGCCCCTGAGGCACAGAGAGGTTAAGTATATGCTCAAGGTAGTGTGGTTAATACACAAGTCAGCATATACCTAGCATCTGACCATAGAGCCTGTTATCATAATAATAGTGAGACTATGTAGCTAACATAAACTCTTAAGAAAGGAGCAGCTGACCTGAGAAAGAGCACTCTGAAAGAACATAGAGTACAGGTGCTGTGTCTTGGCAGCAGATGACAACCACACAGGGGCCTGGTGATACTGGGTCTGGAAAGGGTGGTAGCCTATTCTCTCAGCTGCAGGAGCTTCCCTGCCCATAGGCACTGTGGCTGTGAGATGCCACTCAGAGTTGGCCCAGCACCAGTTAAGATTCAAGACACCATATGGGAATGATCAGAAGGGTCTCCAGGGAAGCTGAGCAGGGCCATCATTGTGACAGACAAGGGCCACAGAGGTGGTTCCAGGCTCGGGGAAGCCATCCCAGGGAGTCACTTTCTGAGGACTGTAGGGAGATGGAAGGGGAGCAGGATTCAGTGCTACACAACTGCCAGCCTGGGTCTGAATTTGATACGCTGTGTGAATATGACACATTAAAATTAACCAGTGAGATGATTGCATACACATAAAGAAATGGAATCCTGGCTGCTCCCCACACTTGTGAGTAAACTGCACACTAAACATTTAAACTCAAAGACAAAAGTTCAAAATCGAAGCATGGGGTGAATGTCAGTTATCTGATACTTGAGAGGCCTGAGGTGGGAGGGTGGCCACAAGCTCAAGACCTGCCTACAAGTTCCTGACCAACCAGGGCTGGACAGTGAAACTCTGTCTCAAAATATTTTTTTAAAAGGCAAGTAATGGTGCACCTGTTGTAATCTCAGTGCTGGAGAGATGGAAATAGTGGATCCCTAGTGCTTGCTGGCCAGCCTGGCTAGCCTAATGGGCAGGCTTCTAGCCAGTGAGAGACACTGACTCAAAGATTGAGGTAGATTGTTCCTGAGAAAGGACATCCAAAGGTGACATCTGGACCGTTGCACACATACATGTACACCCACACAGATGCACGCACACACACAAATAAAACAATATAGTAAATATTAAATAATATAATAAGCCTCATATCCATGCTTGCATCAAAAGCTTCAACAGGATCCCAAAGAAAGGACAGAAAAGCTGCCCCAACCCCCCTTTATCCCATCATCCCCAGGAGTACCAGGGCACCAAGTCAGGGGCAACTGAACCCTCCCACAGTAGGTTGTTCCCTGCCTCGCAGAAACACAAGGAATCACTGAATGTTAGTATTTGTACTGTCCCCAGAGTCCCAACAGGCTCCTGTTTAGTCTTACCTAGAATTCAAAGCTATGTAAGCCGTTTGAAATCTAAGATTACCCACACAGGCAACCCGTCTGCAGATAGGAATTGCCTGGCTACTGTATTCTATCCAAGCTGACACTGGCACCCTCTCATGTGAAACCATCTACCCAGACCCAGAGCGCATGTGCTTGGCTAGGCAGAGCAATAACCCTGAGCTATCTCACCCGAGTCCAACCCTGAGCTCTGCCGCATCTCCCACTTGAAGACAAAGCATTAAGATCATTTTGTTGCCAAAAATGTATCGATATGTGTGCAACTGTGTTCATCGGTTTGTTATTTTCTTCCAGGATGGTGAGATTCACCAAGGAGAGGCTGAAAAAAAGAGAAGCGTGGGCAAACTTTCTCAGACAGCCTCGGAAGACAGCGATGTGTTTGGTATGTAGCGGACAGAGGGTATGACCCCCTTTCCTGCTTGGACTGTGAGCCCACGCCTTCTCACTGGGGAATTCTTGTCCTTGTCTTTGGGTTTTTGTTATTGCTGTTGTGGTTTTGTTTTGTTTTGTTTTTGTTACCATATGAGAATACAAGCTTGCACATGACACAGTGCACGTGTGGAAGTCAGAGGACAACCTCACCCCCCACTTTTTGTGAAACAGGTTATCTTGTTCACCACTGCATACCCCAAGATAACTGGTCTTTGAGCTTCCAATGGCTGGCTCCACCCATACCCTTCTCTTGACACTGGAATTACAGATGTGCACTATTGTGTGTGGTTTTACATGGATTCCAGGGATCCACACTGAGGTCCTCACGTTTATGCAGCAAGTCATTTACCCACTGGACTATGTCCCCATGCTCTGTCTTCATTTTTAAATATCTGTGCAATGGTGTGGTAAACAGGCCTCCTTACTGCCCTCCTGCAGACTCTCTCCCACTTTGTGTTCATGTTTGCTCTCTGTAGCCCTAAGGCTCCTCTCAGTCTCCCTCTCTGCCAGATGGTGGGGACATCAGCAAGCCAGCCCCACAGTGTCATAACAATGCTGACAAGGAAGTAAGCTTGCCAAAGTTTGTGCACTGCTTTCCTTGGGCTGGCTGCAGACGGTGACTCAGCTGTTGTTGGGAGTAAGTGTGGTCTTCGAAATGTTACCTTCCTAGTGCCTCAAGAATACACACTGCCCTGTGCATGGGTTTTCTGTTTCTTCCTACTTATCAGAGTGGACAAACATCCTCACCTGAGTCTTGTGGAATTGTGGTAGAGTTACCTTTTCCATGACTTCCCTCCGATGTGGGCTCCCACAACTGACCAGAATCTGAGGGACACTGCTGTCTTCTTTCTTCCACTTAGGGAGACAGGAGAAGGGAAGCGTGGTAGAGAACAAGCCCAAGTGGTAAGAGCCCACTGTCCTGAGAGGAAACAGCAGCCAGGCCCTGCCACTGCAGGTCATAGCCTAAGTTTCAGTCACTCAAAGCCTGCAACCCTTGGCCACTCCCTGATCGGGCCTCTGCTTGCTTATGCAAAGGTCTTTCTCCATCCTTCTCCCCTAGGCAGTGCCATCTACCCTGGTGTTTCTCAGGGTATTATTCTTTTTTACTAACTTAGTTTCTTCAAAATTCCTTCCTTCTGTGCTTTGTCCTTCTTGAGCAAGCACCTGTGGTTGAAAAGTCTGGGAATAGTGGTACCCTAAAATTGAAAACCATGACTGTGAGCTGAAAGTATGGTAGATCCAGGGCAGTGGGGGAGGGGCTCTTCCAGTTCCTCTAACTATGTCCATTTTCACTGGAATTTTCTTGGGGCATTTCTGTCTTTAGGAAGTGGGGTATTCTTTTTTTTAGTTGCCCCTGGGGCCTGAGCCTGGGGGAAGAGTAGAAGACAGCATTGTGACAGCAAAGTACAAAATTTAAAATACCCAGGGCAAGGCACAGTACAGAACTCAATGTCTGCCTGTGTGGTGTTTAGGGGGGAAAGCAAGTCTTTGGCCATGGTTTTTTTACTTGTGATTCCCAAGTACAGACATATAACTAATGCACATCTGTACACACAGAAGCATATTAGAGGTGCCAAAGAAAATGCAAAATATGTGTGTCTGGGTTTACATTTTCTTTAAGGAAGTGTTGTCTTTAGATTCAGTTGGGTTGTATTGTTGTTCTAGGGATGGATTTCAGGAGCTGAGTACATGCTAGGCAAGTGCCTTACCACTGAACTACGGTCCTAGTCCTATTTAATTGCTTTTTAGCTTATTTATAATCATAGTAACTTGTACCTACCATTATGTGTGTGAATGGTGTGTATACACACAGAGAAAATGGATGTAACACATGAACTATAGCACATAAAAGGCTCTCTGAGTTCCCTCTGTGAATTGTGTAAATGCCCTTACTCCTGAAGCTGTGAGGTGGCCCAGGAGACAGCTTCCTGACTGGAAGGTGGAAGCCAATGGCAATACAGAAGTTACAGGTCTCTCCATAATAAATGCAGTTGCTCCCGGGACCCGGGACAGGAATGCATTCATGCCTATGGCATGAAGGCACTTCCCAGCTCTTGCACTGCAGCCTGCAGTAGGATCCGAGTCACCCTCAAGCATGCACAGCTCATTCTGGTCCTGGCTGAGTCAGAGCCCAGGGGCATGTGAGGAAGCTGCCACCTGCAGATGTTCCAGGCTCACACAACACTGAGTCAGGCCAGCTGGGAGGGCTTGCATACTCTGGGTTGGGTACTCGGCAAGCCTGTGTGAGCTGCAGAGCCCCTGCCCTTGAACTTGATAACCTTGCCCTTCTCTGGCATCTACGGAAGTCCCAGGCTATAGATGAAAAATGACAAATGGAAAAGGAAAGCTCAAATGACCTTGGCTTGGTTGGTTGTTTGTTTGGGGCTTCTGTTTTTGTTGTGGTGTGTGTGTGTGTGTGTGAAAAATGACAAATGGAAAAGGAAAGCTCAAATGACCTTGGCTTGGTTGTTTGTTTGTTTGGGGCTTCTGTTTTTGTTGTGGTGTGTGTGTATGTGTGTGGTATAGGTCAGG